AGGATGACAAATACCTTCAGGCTTCAAAGAACAAGCTGTTTATCTCAGTCGCTATGGTATTTACTACTGCTGCTATTGAGAAGGTGCTACCAACAGAAGCTCGTGTGATCAGAGTGATGCCAAAGATGCATGCTGCATTCACATTAATCTAAAACAACAACGGCAATATGTTTAACTGACAGCCCTAGTCATTCTTTGTACGAATGGTATCGAACTATCGACACATAACCTTATCAAAATGTGCGGAGTGACCAAAGGACAAGAAAAACAACATTAAAATTTTCAGTATTTCACCATCAGCTGTTATTTTCCCCGGTTCAGTCAACAAGTGTCTATCTCTCATAAAACCAACAATGGCATCCATCTTGTTTACTTAGGAAATGTTAAACCTCTTTTTCATTATTTACAGATGGCAGAATTCCACATCCTCGAGCCTCGAGGAAATAAAGGGAACATTAATTATTATGTTTTCATCTTACTCACTTAACTGTTTGACGAGGAACACGACTAATTTCAAGCCACGCTAAAGGCTCATATTCATGAGCAGCGTCCCGCGACCCGTGACGCGGCGACTGTCGCGCTGCTACTGAGTAGTAGTAGTAATAGTACTGCTCACGAAAGTTTTAATTGAAAATTGTATGACAGTACCCTCTTCTACTCAACATTAGGGGAAGCAACAGGTGCAAATTAATATTTAAAACACACTTTACTCCAATATGAAGACAAGGATGAACACATGAAAGGTTAGCGAAACTTGTACATGAGTGTGACTGCAGCATCACTAGCCACATAGACATAACTAGCAGGTAGCGTAGCAGCAGTAGATTGAGGTGCGCGCGCAAAAATTCTAGTCTGACCACTAACTGAACACATGATCTTTAGTTGTTACGACATTCTCCAGCATCTAGGACACGTTGTTGTTTAAATCTTGGTTTAAACTGTCAAACACCAAGCGGTCACCGGTGACCGCAACCTATTGTTCTTTAATTGTGTCTATAAATACGGTACTCGACGAGTTAAAACAAAGTTTGGTTTGGTAAAGTTTTCGTAAAAAAGGTTTTAATTAGATGTCGTTAGTTTTTATACCATAGATATATAACATTTTATACCAATGACTAAATTTTATTGTGGTCCAATGTGATTAACGTTTTTTAATCTCTGTTTACAGACGATCTGTCATATTCTGTCAAACAGTATAATTATTATAAACATGGACAGATTTTAGGTTACCGGCAAAAATAATAAACCTGGCTCCATCTTACAGAATGGTTCAATAGAAAAGTGCACCTTTTGTAACAGTACAAAACTTAGTTTTGTACGCAAGATTAAAGATGTACCTATAAAATATTCTAATCACGGTAACATGATGTTTCGAATGCAGTTCAGCATTGCGAATGGATTTGCGCGCGCCAGCAAAGGAATACCCAGTAAAGAAGTAACTGTACAATCTGTACATAGCTAGGTTACAGGCCAGAGAAAATATACGATCAGATTTATGCCATCAAACTTTAAATGGCCAATAAAATACGACGCCTGCCGCTTAATTATTCCATTGAAGTCAATTGTCAGTTGAACGGTGTAGGGGAGAACCGAACAGTTGAGTTTGAATAACAGCTGATAGAAGTCGCTTGCGCATGATATCAACGTATTTCTCTACATATAGAAGTGGTTTACTGATAGTGAAGTGACCTGTTTGAATTCAAAACAAGGACAGTCGCAGTTTAACCGTAAGTACCTGTGGTTCTTGTCAAAGTCCTTATTGCATGGCCAAGTAAATGTATTAGTTATTGGAAATAATTTGTCAATTTAGAACCTTGTTACATTGCGAATAAGTTTCAGTTTCAGTGTGTTTCAGTGTATTTTTTTCGTTTAATGGTAAATCATGTTGGAAGAACGGAATCGATTTGATATGGTGTTTTAAAATTTTAATTTCTGTTGTTTCCTCGCTATTTCCTTTTTACATAACATTTTGATAGTGTTGATACCTGTTTAGGTATGTACCTTGTTCTGTTATTGCTTTCCTGTCGATAAGAGCGAATTTAATTTTAACCGTAAATAATGTTTCTTCTTGGTTGAAATAATTTTATGTCCAATAATATCGATAACACGAGCGGGATTGATATGTATGTGCGAATGTGGGAAATAGCAGGTAAAAGTAGGTTACCATTCGATATGTTTATTTACCTACTTACTTATTTAATCTAAGTAAATAAAGAGTAGATACTTACTGCAAAAAAATATTGTGATTTTTTTTTGTAGCCATTATTGAAAATTACCTAGAAACATTTTTTCTTGTATAAAATATTTACTTACAAACTTAGATTTTACATAACATAACATAACATCACGCCTTTTATCCCCGAAGGGGTACGCAGATGTGCATATTACGGCACTTAATGCCACTGTACAATGTAACACCCACTTTTCACTATTTATGTTATGAGTCCCATGTAATAGGGCATTTCCAGACTTCGTGCTACTACTGAGAATTTCTTGAAAAAAAAAACAGTAATACTTTGCCCGACCCGGGAATCGAACCCAAGACCCCTTGCCCCGAGACTACTCGGCCAACGAGGCAGTCTTACTTAGATTTTAACATAGCCTAACGTACGTAACGTACCTATGTCTTTGTTTCATTTTAATAGATGCAATAAGACTATTCTATTTCATTATAAATGAGTTACATATATTATTGTTATACCTTCACAGAACCATAGGATCCCTTGTATAAAGATAGAATACCTAGTAGGTAGGTACACTTTTGTATCGAGGACAGCATAGAACATCTTCGTCACCCATTCACCTCACCTTCAGATATGAACCTGGATTCAATAAACAACCTATATTCAATAAACAAGTTATAAATATAATAGCAACATTTAAAAGCCTTTTTCACTTTTTGGACATCGCAGGTAGAGAAAAAGCAAAAAATCTTACTGAATATTATAAATCCGAAAGAATGTGTGTACGTTTGTCACTTATCCACTTAAAAACCCCTGAAGGGATCGGAATGAAAATTGGAACAGGGATTATAGGAAGGGAACTAGATTATAGTCTGGAAGGGCACAGGCTACTTTTTTTAACACGGGGACGTGGGCGCTGCCGCGGGCGATTGCTAGCATCCTTACTAATATTATAAATCTAAAAGTGAGTTTCTTTGTTTGTTTGTTTGTTCCACCTTCACACCGTAACTACTCAACAGATTGCCTTGAATTTTTGCAGACGTAAAGTTAGAAGTCCGGATTAAATAATACTTTTTAACCCGGAAAAAATTGATATTCCCGAGGAAAAACAAAAGTATTAGTATAGATGGCGCTGTGTGTATTGGTTTGGTATATGTCACATAGGCTACTTTTTATTCTTTTGTGACGCGAGCGAAGCCGCGGGTAAAAGCTAGTTTTCCATAAAATTAACACGTACTAGTAGGTCATAATGGTCAATTCAAAGTCTTAATAACGAAAACAACTTATGAGGTCTCTGATCTCAGATTAAAAAACGCAAGTAGGTTACCTATCAAGTTTTTGGATACTAATAATACTTCTGTAGTTTTGCTTTAAACTTGTTCTGGGTCTAGATCTTTCATTGTGTCGCGGAGAACCTGATGGGTAACCGGGGCTCCGGCGCGACGTGCAGGAGAAGGAACGCGGGAGCCTCACCCAGGCGGGAGCAGTCATTCGATGATTTTTCCCCCTTAAAAAAAGACATTTCATTGTTTTAAATTCTCAGTTAAAATGTTAACTTTTAGTATTATGTGCCTACGAGCTAGTGGCTTATAACCTCCTCCTTTTTTAAGTCGGTTAATAAATAAACGATGCATTTGTAATGATAGTGATTTCAAACAATGAGATGCAATGGAAATTGTATGCGTAATTATGCAGTTCAGTAAAATGTTGCGTTCGGTGCAATGGTTTAAAGTGCAGTTAATCACGATTGTAGTTAACTGGGAATTTATTTTTTAACCCTTAGGGTGCCACGTCAGTCACCCTTGCCTGACGCTTGTGTGGAGGTTTGACTTTAAACATTTTAAACTTGGCAGTTAAAGTGTTAAACCAAACCATCAATCCTTTTAAGGCCGGTAACACACTTGTAACTGCTCTGGCGGATACCCAATTTTTTTGTTAAGGGGGAAAATCCTCGAATGATTACTCCCGCCTGGGTGAGTCGGGAAGGGCTCTTACTGACTAAAAACCACCCCGTTCCTTCTCCTGCACGTCGAGCCGGAGCCCCGGTTACCCGTTAGGTTCTCAGGGTGTCGATGGGCGGTGGCGATTGCATACCATCAGTTGATCCGTCTGCTCGTTTGCTCTATCCCATTAAAAAACTAGCTTTAGGATACCAGTAATTTAAAAGATTTTTCTACAGTACGTCCCTAATGTCCTTATCCTGTCCTGTCCAGTGTCCTGAGGACTTAGTATGACTTTGTTTTTGGTTAAAAGTAATCGAAACGATACTGCGTTCAGTGCTCCGATAGGTTGGTTCATTGGGGCCGACCAGTCAGAGCGCCGGACGCGGTCTCGTTACTATTACCTACTTTTTAAACGTCGTGCCTATGCATCCTTACTTCCTTACTAATCCTTACTAATATTATAAATCTGAAAGTGAGTTTGTTTGTTTGTTCCACCTTCACGCCGTAACTCCTCAACCGATTGTTTTGAATTTTTGCAGACGTAAAGTTAGAAGTCCGGATTAAATAATAGGGTACTTTTTAACCCGGAAAAAATTGATATTCCCGAGAAAAAACAAAAGTATTGGTATAGATGGAGCTGTGTGTATTGGTATATGTCACAAAGGCTACTTTTTATTCTTTTGTGACGCGAGCGAAGCCGCGGGTAAAAGCTAGTATCATAATAAAATTAGATTTATTCAAATTGTTGATAGTAAATAACTGATTATTTACTATCAACAATTTGAACGGTAAGTTGTAAAGACTGAAATAAGTAAATACACTGAATTAATTTTCTTATTTTTCGACAGGGCCTTCATAATTTCGGAGGGTAACAATGTTTAGCACTTTGCATCGTCTATTCGAGCAATCTCTCAGAAAGCGCCCTCTGTTGACGAACTATGTAGTTTACGCTTCCTTCTACACGGCTGCGGAGTTCACACAGCAGACTGTTAACAAATATTACTTGGTAAGTAAAGGTAAATAAATATAAATGATAAAGAAATCACTAAAAATATGTCTAGTTAGTATCAAATTTCGATAATTTTTACAGAATTCCTCCTATTCTGTTATCGTAGTAGTAGAATAAATGTTTTTAAATCCTACATGTGTGTAAATTGTTATAAAAATCGCAAAAGTAAGTTTGGGAATAGAAAAACAGAAAATAATATGACAAAAAGCATATGGCAGCGGTGGGATTCGAACCCACGCCTCCGAAGAGACTGGTGCCTTAAACCAGCGCCTTAGACCGCTCGGCCACGCTACCTCTGATACGAGTGCGCGTATTTGTCAGTCAATATCTCGGTGTGATGACGTCATAACAAACAATGTTTACATTTCAAAATTAACTTAATTATCATAGTGAACTTTGTTCTGTATATTATTAAGTACAATATTGTTTGACGGTATTGTTTCGATGTATTTTTAGACAAAATGTCTATATGAGTCCATTATAAGTGCTTTATGCATAGTAAGCAGTCGCTAGTCGTGTGTAGCTAATAATATGAATGTCTCATGTGAATATGATAATACAATGCATGTAACATTAGGAAAGGTTATGGTGATATAATAAAACAAATGAGATTCATTGCTGGTTACCTATTGACATATGACAGTCAAATCAAAGATGGTCGTAGAACACTGAAATGCGGAAAAGATATTTTATATAGGAGACTAGCTACTTCCGCGCAGTTTCACACGCTCTGCTCAGCTCCTATTGGTCGTAGCGTGATGTTCTATAGCCTATAGCCATCCTCGATAAATGCGCTATCCAACACAAGAAGAATTATTCAAATCAGACTTGTAGTTACGGAGATTAGCGCGTTCAAACAAACAAACAAAAAATAAATTCTTTCGCTTTATATTATAGTATAAGATACAAGATAAATTATCGAAATTCCACTGGGTAAGGTTTTTTATGGAATAGGTATTAGGCAAACGAGCAGACGGATCACCCGATGGTAAGCGATTATCGCCCCCATGAACACCCGCAACACCAGAGGAGTCACAGGTGCGTTGCCGGCTTTTTAAAAAGGAAAGTGAATTTATATGACTTTTATTAGCACACAGAAGCTTAGTCATGCTTTAACTTTACAATAAGTAATTGTCTTATTTTTCAGCCAACTAAACCAGACTATAATCTTGCGTCCGGAGCTCGTGTGGTCATGGTGGGCAGCACACTATACGCACCCAGTTTATATTTTTGGTAAGTTGAGCAACTATTTACAACTATACCTGAAATACCTACGTTCCTATTATATCTATCTATGATGACCGGAGTGATACCACGGCCTCACAGAAAATCGACGCGAAACAACACCTACATTGTGTTTCGCCGGGAGTGAGGTTACCAGAGGCCCGATTACCCCTCTCCAATCTCCCCAATCCCCGAATCCTCAACAATCCTAAAATTTTTAACCCGAAAAGACCAGCGATGCACTGGTAACGCCTCTAGTGTTTGAATGGGCGACGCCAATTGCTTCCCATCAGGTGATCCGTCAGATCGTTTGCCAGTTTATTCCATAAAAATATTGCATAAAAGTCAGTTCCCTAACACTTGTTTGTGACTATAGTGTCCTTAATTAATAAAATTGTTTTATTTCAGGTACAAGTTCCTGGACAAGAAGTTTGTTGGTAGAGCTGTCAAGACGGTGTTCACCAAAGTGGCCTGTGACCAGTTCATTATGACACCATTCTTACTGGCCTGCTTCTTTACAAGTAAGCCCTATATTTACAAGTACCTATACCTGTAGGTACTCAGTCAATTTACACTTACTGGTAGTGGTAATTAGGTCTTGCAGATCCCAGTATTGTACTCTAGACCTCGAACTCGGTACAGTGACAATTCGAACACTACATACTTACATACCCGTAATTTGTTGTAGGCCGACCTATATAGTTGTGTGAAATATTTTTACTGTACCTACTGAAAAGAATCTACCTTATAAAAGAGTTGATTTTGTATGAAAAGAAATCTAATGCCGTTTACGTAGGTAATAAAAACCATCATAGACCGTGTCACAAGCATAGAAGAATAGAAGAGTCTTTCGTGATACAAAAGGGAATATTCATAAGGTTATTTTAATTTTATCGTAAGGAAGCTAGCCGGTGTACCTATAATGTAAGTCGGCCTTCAATTAACGACGATTAAATTTAAAGTTCATCGCTCTCACCTTTTCTCTGATAAATATAATTTTCAACTCGATTTGGGAAATAAATTTTAAACATAGGAAACTAGCTAATTCTTCCATACTACAAATTGTCAACTATCAACTTTATTTTACAGTTAAGAATTAACTGATGATTCGGCCGTTAGGCAGATGAGAACATTCAACCACAAGTTCCATATCTGATTAGTCCCATGTCACACTCACACCCCGTCTTCCACAACAAGAGACTTACAGACACTTTTATAGTAAATTGAAAACACTTTACCCAACTCGAAGAGTGAAGTATCTAGGCAATATCTTAATTTTGCTAAAAATAATTGAAGTAGGTATCAGTCTATTATCATAGGATGAATAGAGTAAGTGAAATACGTACCTAATTAAAATTACATAACATAACATAACATCACGCCTTTTATCTCCGAAGGTAGGCTGAGGTGCATATTGCCACGGTACAACGTAACAGCCATTTTTCACTATTTATGTTATGAGTCCCATGTACATGGCACAATTCCAGACTCAGAGCTACTACTGAGAATTTTTTCTTTAAGAACCCAGTAATACTTTGCCTGACCCGGGAATCGAACCCAAGACCCCTTGCCCGGTAGTCGCACTTGCGTCCACTCGGCCAACGAGGCAGTCTAATTAACATTCGTTTTCAATATTTCAGTTCTAAGCGTTTTGGAGGGACAGCAAGATATATTCGCTGAACTACGACACAAGTACGTGAAGGCGTTAATGGCAAATCAAGTGTTCTGGCTTCCAGTACAGTCCATTAACTTCTCCTTCATACCGTCACATCTTCGAGTGACGTACGTGGCTTCAGCTTCGTTTATCTGGATCAATGTGCTGTGTTACATCAAGCGACAACAGATCAGTGGCAATCCAAAGATTCAAGCATCAAAGTAAAATTCAATCTATGTAATCTAGACTTATAAAGTGGGTAGCAAAGTTCATTTTTGCTCGATGGCAATTTATCTGAGGGCAGATACCATTTTCCGACACCCTGACAAACTGAGGAATAAATTTTCTCGCCACCATTTTCCAATTTCAAAGTTAGTATCAAGAATAGACTAAGAATTGTAGATGCTTCTCAGGTTTTGCCATTAGCAATGTCAAAGTGTACCCGTAGATGTGTTGCTGTCTTTTGTCAAATTATTATACAAATGAGCTGCTGTTAACAAATTACCTAATGTGCCAATCTATACAAATATTGTAAATAATTTTACTATAGTACCTAATCGTGTGTGTAATAATGATTACACGTTTACACAATTACATTTATAATAAAAGTGTTAGTGTACAAAGAAATAAAATCATTTTTATATCAAAAGCTTGTTTAATATCTATTTAAATTAAGTAATTAAACATATAAATGTCGAAATCGAAAAATGTTTAATTTTTCCAATTCACTGCACCGGGCACAAGCTCCTCAATAATCGCTTTAAGACGCATATTCTCAAGAAACAAAAGGTTGCATCTGCGGATCTGAAATATATTCAAAAAACAAAGACAACATTACGTTTGATATTCCTTCAACAAAGCAGAAGAAGCATACAATTGGGTACTTGCCAACCAGTCGAATTCAATACTTTTTCAAACTGTCAAAAATGATTTTTTAGAGTCAAACAGCATACTTATATCTTAAAAATTTGCGGGAAAAATAATAAGATTAGGTTAGTCATAAAATAAATTAATGAAAGTGTGATTATTTTTTTAAATATTTCATTGTATTTTACAGTCGAAATAATTTATTTTTGATCAAAAAAGTACCCAATGTGCATTTAATTTGCCAAATAACGGATATATATCACAGAGTCTATACTACTCTTACAGGAAATTTTCAAACCCGAAATTCAAAATAGTACCACGCCAAGGGTGAAAAACGTCCGGAATAGGTCCAGTGTTGAACACATGCCTCTCACGTGACAGAGATATGCCATTATAAGCCCACGCTTGGTGGGTTGGCTAGGTTATCGAAAGTTTGGAGAATGCTGGCTGCGTGCAAAATCGGTTTAAACATCAGACTATCTCTAGTAACCTATAACTACTAATAAGTACTAAAGTACACTTGGGAGCAAAAAACAAGCCATTAGCGATTTTTCTTTTTAATTTCTTGATAAATACAAGTATTTTAGTAATTGGTAACACATGTTGTATAAAGAGCAATTAAGTTACCTTTGAAATGAGAATAAAAGCATTTTTTTTTAAGTTACCGACATTTTGATAAAATGAAAAAGAAAAGAGGTAAGTGGGTTCGTTTCTTTGCTCACAAGTGTAGTAGGACTTAAAACAACACCAGCGCCTCTAGCGGTGCAATACTCACGGTTTGCCTACTTACTTCATAAAGTAGAAGTGCAGCATCAGCGTCGTGTTCGTTGGCCATGCAGTATTCAAGTCTTGCGTCGAACTTCATTCGCGCTCGAGTGGTGGCTTCCATCATGTCATGAAGAGACTGCTTCATGGCTGCTAACTGCTCTTTGTACCAGTTTTTCTATTAGAACAGAATTTAATTAGGCTTGCTGTATTTGTCAGGGTTTTTTGAAAGAGGGAAAGTGTTGTTGGGTTTTTATATTTTCACAAAAAGTGAGAGAGATTCAGAGATCCAGAGATGAACGAAACGTGACGAATTGGTCATGTATGGTAGAAGCCTTAGGTACCACGGAGGCGTGGAGCTCAAAAATAAATAGAAAAATCTTTCTGTACAGCCCTTTGAGATAGAAATAGTCTGATGTGTTTATTTATGGAGTATAAATAAATGTACATACTTTCTCTTTACATTTGTTCTTGAGTGCAATGTATTTTTCTCCGACAGCTATGAGTGTTTTGTGCGCATGCGTGAGATGCGCCTGCGTTGAGGTTGCGCGTTCTCGCCATTGGTCCAGGCGTTTGTCGCACAACCCGACAGCGTTGCATTGGTCTTCATACGCTTGGACCAGGATTTGGTAGCGTTTTGCTAACTCTTCGTATCTGAAATAGGTACGAAGACAAGTATTATAGGTACTCGGAATTTTAATTCGATTCCAGATTTGACAATTTCAGTGTTGCAACGTTATGACAAGTACCAAATAGTGACGTTCCGAAATTATTCGATATGAAAATGCAATATTTCTGGATCGATTCTTCTCGTTTATAATTTTACTCTCGTAAACTAAGTATATCAGGAAATTAAATATTTCTGAACCGATTATTTAGTTTTGACAATTAATTAACGATCTGAGACTTTTCTTTTATAATTGTGTGTGAAATAAATAAAAAAATGTAATCATGAAGGAAAATGACAAATAAAACAGATAGATGTTTTATGGTAATAAGTTATTTTATGAATTGTTGCCGTCATCGCTATCGCTATCCTGTCACTTTCTGTAACATTTATTATAAAGCACACACACTGATTGTTTATCGATTTTTGTGTGCATTACTACACTATTATATGTGGTATCATTATTTCACAAAATGATATTAGCTATTGTCAAATCTGGAATCTAATTAAAATTCTGACTATAGGTAGATTCTAAATTGATTATCAGGCTAGAATGTCTAAAGATGTATACAGAGGCCTAGTACGAGTTTGATTTACGTTTAAAGTATTCGAGACGAGTACGCATTCGGCACTATGATTGGCCGGCACCAATGATGCAACCAATCAGAGGGCTTAGTATGAGTTCCTTTTTCGTTTAAAGTAATCGAAACGAAAACCTCGTCCGGCGCTCTGATTGGTTGGTTCATTGGAGCTGGCCAATCACAGCGCCGAACGCGTACTCGTTACGATTACATTAAACGTAAAACAAACTATATAGTACCTACTAAAGCCTCTGATTCCAGATCTGATGAATGTGCTGCTCGCGAGCCTGTCATAAACTGCCGGATAACGTTCAAATATAAAAAATTGGGTGAGGTTGATATAGGTACTTACGAAACCCAAACATCAGGGCCCGCGAAAAGCTGGGAATGAACTTGGATGTATATGAACGGCGCTGACCAATCGCTACCTAATCCTATAAGGTGATCCGTTTGTATCTATATAAAAAAATGTTGTTTGAATACGTACTGGTACTGCAGGCACACTATACTCATGGTAGACCAGGTGTCTGTGTAGTCTTCATTGGTTTCACTTGATTTACTGTTGCTTGTAGCTGGCAGGAAATAGGAGTAATTTAGCATTACGTGGACATTTTATTTGAACAGATGTAGTCAAGGTTGCAATCAGAAGAGTTTGGTATTGCCCAATTTGGTATACAGGCCAGAAAGCATATCGATTTATTACAGAGACCAAGCTATTATTACAAAAGATATGGTTTAGTCCTCATTTCGGAGACCGAACCGATATCGTCAGTTTGGGGACCTGCGAGGCTACTTTGTAAGATGTCAATTCGAACTCCTGAAGTGAGCTCGATTTCATTCTCGCTCGTCATTGGTCGGGATTATTGCTAGCTACAACCAATGACATAGCAGACCGCGATCGAGTTCACTTCGGACTTTTGATTTGAAAGTTACAGTAGGTACCTAATTATCGTAGCTGTACATTCCAATACAAAGATTCTTCTGTATAATACCACAGTAAGAATAAGAACGTTTATTTGCACGAAGTATGGTAATTACAGGTAATAATAATTATAAAAAAATAGTCCCACATACATCGCCTACTGTTTTTGGCATGCAAAGTTAAGTTTTACAATATAATAAAGTTAAAATCTTACATTCAATATAACCAATTACAAAAATGCTTACAACTAGGATAACATAATTATTTCTCCTAACATATTATTACTACTTTTCTTCTTTATTCAAATATTTATCATTTTAGTGACTTACTAAATAACAACACACTTAATATTGCACACATTAAACTTTCATTGTAAGAAACTCATCTAAGGTGTTTTTTTTTAAGGGGGGAAAATCATCGAATGACTGCTCCCGCCTGGGTGAGGCGGAAGGGAGTGTCAGACTCTTACTGACTAAAAACCACCCCGTTCCTTCTCCTGCACGTCGAGCCGGAGCCCCGGTTACCCGTTAGGTTCTCCGCGACTCATCTAAGGTGTAAAAGCAACTTTTGATTAGAAGTAGCAAAGATATTTAAAACTTACTGGTAGTATTACACTTGAAACTCTTCTCCTCTGAGTGATCACTGTCCCACCAATCGTTGACTCCGTGGGAATGTGAGTGGGACCCTCTACATTGTAACAACTTCTGCTCATACTCTTTGGACTTCCCGATACTTCTTTCTAAAGAGCCGAGAGTGTTGCGAACGTTTTGGACGCTGTTTATGAAGTTCTTGTGGTCACTGTTCGGCTGTTAACATAAAATACTTATTAGGAACTACCTTCTGGACGCGTTCCCGTGGGTAAAAAATTGCCTTTGCAAGTCCAGACCATAATTTATCCTTGTAACAAATTTCATCCTGAGCCCTTCAGCTGCGGTGTTTGACGGTTTACAAGAATAACATTTTATGTGGGAATGGGAGGCAAACGAGTCGATGGATCACCTGATGGTAAGCAATCGGCGGCGCCCATGGATACCCACAATGCAGAGTTAACTTTGTATGTAAATGTAATAAAAGTAAAAAATAACGAGTTATAAAACCATTTTCTCACTTGCTTTAAATGTTTCATATATAAACTTACCCCAAAATTGTTAATAGTAACACATTTCAAATTCCTTGGAGAAAATAAATCGTTGCATATCTTAACGCCCTGCATTATAATAATTACGTACCTATAGAATGTAAAAAAACCACGAAAAATAGTAAAAAAATATGTCACAATAATCAGATCAACGTTGTCATTATAAAAACATTGTCAGTTGAATTTAAAAAACATTAACTTGTTAGTTATCTTTGGTACTCCATAGTAGGATCACAGAGTAGTTTTTGTCAATGGTACACATTGTCAAAGCCTCGAGCAAAGCACCTCCAATAAGAGCTTCGCGAAAACAGTGTATCAATCTCATAGTTAGCAGGTGATAAATAAAAATAGTGTATAATTCATCAGATGGTTTATTCAACTACAACAAAAAGCATAACGTTTTAATAACTAAATCAGTCTAAAAATATTCTCCTGCGATAAAACTACAACGACTCAAATATTTCATCTAAAAGGTTAAAATATATAAACTACGGTTTGTGCATTTATTGCTTATTGCATACGTTAATATTGCCTTTACGAATCAACTCGTTTTGTACTTGCACGATTGCAGTAATAAATAACATTCTCTTCACAACAGCAAACAGATTAAAATATAATTAAAAGTTGAAATAAACTTTCAATCAACATTACTGCACTAAAATATACAAAACAAGTAAAACTGTAAAGTTATTTATTGTATTCGTAAACGAAGGTCTATGACAAACATTCTTTTAAATTTCTATGTACAGAAGAAATAAAACCAATATTCCAAAGATTCTATACGAGTAACATGATTATATTGCTATTTATAAGTAGCAGAATTATTTAAACTGGCTACAATTTGTTACAAATTAAAGTTTATGTACTTTTATGAAAAGATACACCCACAAACGTTAGTATGGGCGATATCAAGATTGACTGTGTAAAAAAATGTGTTTTTAAAATGTAACAACCCTTAGCCAGACTAGATTACATTGTTATGGAAGACATTGTTCAGCCTCAAGCATCAGAAGCTTTGATATAACACAAATAAACATTGAAAACAATCGATTTAACATTATACAATAACAACAGTAACATTTTTATTAAAAATCTATTTTTCACATAAATCTTTCGAGTAGTAACTTATCGAATATTTCGAACAGGAACTTTAGGTAACAATACAATAAAAAATAGGCAAAAACTTGAGTCGATACTTAATTTTGTGATGATACAATTCGAGGTGACAAGAGATTAATTCATGTTCACGGTGGATTCGCGATCTATGCCTGAATAATAAGGTATCAACTATGCAAGTTGACTTTTAATAAAATAAAATCTATTGTATTATACAGTATACACATAAAAAAGAAACTATAAAGGTGCATAGCAACTGCTATTAACTTGTGTATGTACATAATTACAAAATGTATAAAAAATATAACATAATGTTACGCTTTTTAATTCTCGACGGGGTTGGCGGCATAGGCGAATAAATATACAATGTTACCCACTTTATTAGTTACGTTATGTACATGTACTAGGGGTGAGTCTATTAGCACTGGGTATAATTCTAGACAAAGCTGAGAAATTGCCAAAACGTGAAAGATTACAATAGTATTTTGCCCGACCCAAGATTATTTCTAGCTCGGTAGTCACACTTGGGACCGCTTGGCAAACGAGGAAGACGGAAATAAATACGAAATATCCCAATAAGACCTCTTGGACTAGCTACCTCGATTTTATAGCTGCGCGAAAATAGTGGAACATGTATGACATTAATACTCGTACACGATTTGGTTATAAGTAATGCGAAACCTTTACATATTTACAATTTAACAATATTCCTTCTGTCACATAACAATGTATAATACTGTTTACACTATTGCTGTATTTAGGCACTTCAAAGTATTGGTTGCAATATGCAATTATTGCAAAAAGGCATTAATATGTATAACTATGTAAAATAGCTGCAAAAAAGTAATGTCACATTTAGCAACATTAGAATTGTGATATAGACACGGTAGAACAATGCTACTTAAAAATTCACAGTAAATAATTTGGCTCATAATGTACATTATTTTGGCAAAATATGATTTTTCTTTGTGGTACATCTAACAGGAAAGATATTCTTTGGTATACTGTCGATCCGAATTCGATATAATTCATTTCCATCAATCAAAAACTAGAACATTCACACAACATAACAATCTTAAAGAATATTGGTTCACAGTAACAATGCAAAAGAAATTGAGCTTTTGGAAAATTTTTACTTATGATATGACATAACTACTGAGATCCACAATCAACTGTAGATTACTTAACTTTTTTTTATAATTTCACATCATTATCTGTTTGATAAGATAAAATTGTTTACTTTTCATAATTATTGTAGTCATGCTTTTAGATTGGACAGTTTCTAAAAGCATGTCCCATAATTAAATTTATTATTTCTTACTATTAGAAAGACCAAGGCTTTATAAAAGTTTAGTTGAAAAACAGAACCTATAGATCCTTTAATTGAGAACTGCATCAGATCTAATTGATGTTTCAACCTTGACAGGGTGACCTTAGTTTTTCTACCTATCAGTTAAAGCTAGAAAAAACAGGATAAACACAGACTCTACTCGTCCATAATATCGAAACCAGTTTTTAAATTAGGTGCACACAAAATGGCTGCTTCCTTCGTAAATAAGGTCCGGTTTAAATAAAAATTTAGTAAACTACAGATGATTGTGACTTATGCTACCGCCAACTTTTATGTTTCATCATCTTTGTATCAGACATTGCTACCTCAAAGAGAGTTGGTGATGTTCTGGAAGAGTCGCTTGCCCCACCAGGTCTCCAGGTCAAAGGGTTTGAAGTCTCTGAGCACGGGGCTGGGGGCATCGTCCTGATAGTACAGGTTGGATGGAGGTGCGGGCGACGAGCTGCCGGATTCTGGAACAATTTATGGAAGCGGTGTGTAACTAGGAGGAGATTCTAGCAGGGGATAGTAATAGGCTGATGGCATGTGAAGATATAGTCTCAGAACCTATTTATTGCAGTCTTCTCTATACTATTGTCCGAGTGTTAAAGCTTCTTCTAATGATTATCAGTTTGCCTAAATAGCTAAGATTCTTATAGACATTAGTCAAAATTCTAAAGCCAAGTTGCAACACCGAACACTGTTTGACAGTACCAATAGTTACTTCGTGGTATGTGGTAATTACAATATTTTCTTTAAAATATTTCATTTTTACGAAATATTTATTTATTTATTTATTCGAAGGAGTACGGCCACATCACAAACATATAACATTCAAAATACACAATAGTAACAAAATAAAGGTCTGATGCATGCGACAATAATGGCGTACATAGCACTGGCAATTCATAGGCTTAACAGTGGCTTAAAAATAATATCCAATTTAAGAATTATAGAAAAGAAAATAACAGCAATAATCCACACCATACACACATTAAAATGAGAATTTAACAAGATGTCTGATTAAAACAAAACAAATTAACAACAAAAATTAGTTAGATCTATGCCATATTAAGTCTAATAATAATAATTTAATACAAATATAATATAATAAAATGTCAAATTATCGTCAAGATTTCAAAGAAATGTCAATTAAATTAAATGAGAATCAATATAATTTCAATGATTTAAAGAAATGTCAGAGTCTAAAACAGATGCCAAAGTATAAAGCAGCAAGCAGCACCAACAACAACAATAACAAACGATACTATAGTGCATCAATAATCCTGCCTCTAAATACTCTTAATCTATCGTGGAACACATCAAGATCGGGTATTGTTGAGATAAGGGAGTGGTACTCATCAATTATTCTACGGAGAGGTGCCTGCCGTCCCAAATTAGACTTTACCGGTGGAATGTAGAAAATGTATTTAAGTTTTCCTCGAGGATAGACACGCGGAACACGCAGAGGCATGCTCTCCAGAAAATAGCTACACCGGTAATGACCACCTATGATTTTGTGAAAGAAGGTCATGTCCAGCAAAAGTCTTCGCTCGCGAAGAGAATGCATTTGAAACCTAATCAAGCGCTCTTTATAGGGATTCCTGTGAGAAAATCCAACAGTGTTATAAGCAAGGTGTCTAGTGAACGCTCTCTGTATACTCTCAATGCGCTGCGAATGCACAGCATAAAACGGACTCCACACAACACTGGCGAACTCAAGATGACTACGGACCAAGGATTGGTAAAGCAAGATTTTAGTGCGCTGATGTTTAAATCCGGTCGAGTTCCGTCTTAAAAATCCGAGCATTTGAGCTGCCTTTGTGACAGACTTGTCAATGTGTGAGGTGAACCTAAGCTGACTATCAACTATCACGCCAAGATCCCGGATTTCGTTGACCTCCACTAATGCTGTATCACCAAGCATGTATTCCGTTGCAATTGGCTTCCTTTTTCTTGTAAATTTGATATGAAAACATTTACTGGCATTAAGATTCATACCATTGACGAGACACCAGTCCAGTATCGCGTCCAGGTCACCCTGTAGTTGACGAGAGTCACCAACGGAATATATGGTTTTATATATTTTGAGGTCATCGGCAAACAGTGACACCTTGCAGTGTCTTACTTTTTCAACTATGTCGTTAATGAAGATTACAAACAGAAGAGGTCCCAAATGCGATCCCTGAGGAACACCAGTATCGGCAAAATAGATATTTGAGTTAAATCCGTTGACAGCCACCGACTGAGGTCTTTGCCCTAGATAGGACTCAAACCATTTCAAAAGTGCCCCATCCACACCCAATCCATACAATTTCCTCAGAAGAACGGAGTGGTTAACTTTATCAAAGGCACTGCTAAAGTCAGTGTAGATGGCGTCAACCTGCCTGCCCGAGTCAACTTCATTGGATATATTAGAAATGTAAGGGACCAGGTTTGTGACGACTGAGCGACCACGTCTAAAACCATGTTGTGAATCTGAGATGCTGTCATCCACAAGTCGACAGATCACGGGATAAACAATCGACTCAAATAGCTTGGAAAAGCAGGACAGAATGGAAATAGGACGATAGTTTTGAACGTCAGAATTTTCCCCTTTCTTAAAGACCGGAACAATGCGTGCCCTTTTCCACTCCGACGGAAATGTCCCATCTGCTAATGATCGATTGAACACTAAGGTCAGAGGCAAAGCCAACGCAGAACCACATCTTTTCACAAACACCGGCGGAATCGCATCCGGGCCGGCACCCTTCGCAGCGTCAATTTTTTTAATCGCTTTAAGCACCTCAAACTCCTTTATCGTGAGCAAATGCAAACTCCGTTGTAAGGACGCGTGACACGGAGTCGCAAGCAAAGTAGCATCCTATAGGTAACATTCAGAGACATCAAGCATTAGAAATTTTTGTAAGTTACACCGACCATAGTGCTAAACAATGATGAAATCTTCATACATTTTAGAGGCCATTGCTATTAAAATAAGTACTTTGAACACTACAATAGGTGATAAATAATAATTCAAAGGTTTCACGAAAAAAATAACTTTCCATAGTGAGTAATTGTATTTGCAAATCATTATTATATCATGTGATTAGATAAATCTATAAACAGCGTCCGATAATGTTTTTATCAAGTTCTGTATCTATAAATCTAATATTGTAATTATGGTCAGATTTGTTTGTTTGTCACATGAAAATGTATGAGTAACATTAATATTGCCTACATTATTTTCCAAAATCTTATTATAATTCTGTGACAGTAATATTTTTATATTATTGTTGTAATGTTATTACTGTTATTAAAATTTCCACAACAAATAATTCAGATATTTACATTATTTCTAGAATATTCCTTTACATAGCAACATCTAATGAAACTGTGATGTTTAGTTCTCCCATCAGAATCTCGGTCAATGAAAACTAATCAATTCTAATTGAGAAGGCATTCACAGAGGAATTTATACTGCAATTGAATGTCTATGCACTGTGACTCATTTGAATAAATATGTCAGTGGTGATGATAGCTAATAATAGCTCTTATCACAATTACATAAGGCATTATATGCATCTGTAACCTTGCCTTTGAATATAGAAGACTCTTTCTTTAAATTGAATAAATAAGAGATAAGATATAATTGGGACATTAACTTGCATGTTTACTGTGGACATGAATATGTTCTTAACTGACTAGAAATTTTGTGAAGCAGTGTAAGTATCCCTCATAGTCATTACTATCCATTATAGTCTCTATTTTCCTAAAAAGCTAATAATCTAAGTCTGTGACATAAGTTATCACATTTGTTTCAGCAGTTTATGAGAAAGATACACAAACATATTTATGCATGTATAATATGTGGTAGAATTAAATAAATTGTGGGTTTATGTAAGTGTCTACTTACCATTTGTACTGGTTGGTGTTGTGGGCTCACTTTCTCCGTATGCTGTCTGTGTCCAAGCTGGAAACAGTTACATTCTTTACTTATTTTGTATTACATAGACTAATCAATCCCCAAGCGGTCATCAGTAACCGCTGTTTCTTTCTTTCTATTTCCAATGTTTAGAGACAATTTTTGTAGGAACAAATTTTGGGGATTTATAGCAGGTGATTGTGTACAAGTTAAAATCATAGAACTAGTTAATAAAACTATATGATTATGCAGGTTCCTAGAGTCTTTTGATACCAATTAATTTATGGGCTGGTCCTATTTAATGTCCTATGTAATTACAATAAGATTAAAGGCCTGCTTTTAACTAAGTTTCTGTTAGTTTTTAGAGTTTAACTAACAGATAATTTGATGTATTATTCATATTATATAATGTGTCTAGATGTTTTTAAGCTAACAGCAATTAAGTAATCACATTATTAGGTACAGTATTAGGTGTTTTTGTTTAAGTCTATGAAATTATTAGTAATGTTATGAAATCAAGAAAATGTTTTGAGTTCATAACTTAAAGGTTTTATTTAATAGAGGAAGGAACGAGAAATTTTTGCAAAATACTTTAAAAAGAGAAATCTTTATGACTAACCAAGTCCTACAAATCTTTTTAAAAAATATAGTTATGTATGTATGAAAACTTACTTTCACTGATAAATCTGATAATTTCCTCATGTTGCGGCGTAATCACATGGTGCTGTATTCTTTGGTGTATTGTCTTTTTACCATTGGAATGAAAAATAGGCTTAGGCATGCTGGAACACAGACAACTCCAATAAGAATATTGTTTGGAAGTTTACAGAAAGTATAAATACATTCTAAGTTACGTCTGCTAATATAATATATTCTAGTTTTACTGTATTTATGAAGTCTATAACAAATTAAAATCTTCGGCCTAAGAGGTTATGTAAAAACAGTGATGAAATACCATTAAAGTTTGTAAGCTCTCAATTGCATCACTTACTTGATAATTTCTCCATTATCAGATTCTGATGACTTTCTATTGTGATCTTTACGGCTGTCCAATCTTTCTAAGTTCTGTGAGAGGCCTGCAAACGAAAGTAAAGATACGATATTTTCATCTCACATGATCACTGACAAGCTCGAACTTCATTTTCAAACTAAATTATATTATAATACGATAGCTACCTCTTCGAGTTTTCGCTACAATTTTGCTGGGTCCCTTAGAAACAGTATACATTTTAAAATTCACTCAGAAATTAAAAAAATAAACGTAAAAATCACACACGAAATTACGAGACCAACTTTAAACAGCAAGTTGCAATATAGATAAATAAAAAAAGATACTATTGTCATTTCGATGTGCTTATAATATGATTATGATTTTCTTTTTCTGCCGAATCTTTAAATAGTAACTATTGTGTAGAATTTATATTTTACTGCACGATTATCTATTTTGTAGAACTAAAAAATTGGTTTTATTTAAAAATCAAGTACTCTTATATGTATGCAGTAGCTTTAAAATCTTTTATATAGCAACATTCGCAATAATGTCATTTTAAGGTTGTAGTAGTATACTAGAATAGCACGAGATGGCGTTACTACTAACATCAAGAAAACTATTATTTTTAGGAAATGGGGTCTGAGGAACGGGTGCTTACTGCCTAGGCTAGGGCTAGGCTTTCTCTTTTTATTATTTTTTACGGTATCGCTTTAGGAACAATAATTATTTCTAAAAAGAATATAGTAAAATTTTAATATATAAGTAGGTACCTGATTGTACCTAGCATCTTTGGCTTTTCAGTTGATTTTCTGGTGTCTGATTTGTCTGAAGAAATTAGTGATATTCTACAAAAGCCTTTATTTTAAAACGGAAATTAAAATAAAATTCAACAAACAACAAACATATTCCGGAATTACGTTACAAACAATTAAACACCGACACGATTCATTCACTCAGTTCTTAGGTAGGTACCTAAAGTAGAATGTTTGTCTAGGAAGCACCCTTACGTAAGGCCATATATCATGAAGGAAGCAAGCGTAGAATACAAACATGTTTCGATGTTTATTTATTGAAACGGTTAACACTCGATCAATCGCGAGTGAAGGAAGTTGGGTAGACATGCATGAAAATTAATAATGGCTTCCGTTGGCTATCTAGTTCTAACTGTCTGTAAAGAAAGAAATAAGGCTTAAAACTAGTAAGAAAACGGTCGTTTGAATTCGTTGTTAGTTTTATTAGCAAGTTTGAGAACTTCGTACTGTTTATGTAACCTAAGTATAAAAGAGTTAACCCGTCGAGCGTCCGCGTTCCTTATGATCCAACGGGTGCACACGTGACATTTGGAGAAAGAAAGAAAGAAAAAAATGCATTTATTTGGCCATTGGCACACGAAAACAAGGATCATTACAATAGAAATAAAAAATACAGTCAAAATAAAAACAAAACATTTATAAAAGAGAAAGCAGCATGGAGCATTTTTTTTATAATCCACCGGGTGCTCATAAGGACGCTCTAGGGGTTAAGAACTAACAATAATCTAAACACATTAGTCTGAGAAAATATGCATGTTATTTCTATCCTATTACCCGAATCTCAATAGGAAAATCAAATCCGAGAACCCTAACTCGGTAGTCGCAATACGATCACTCGAGACTCCACCAATGACGTAATCACAATGGCAATAGTAGTTCCATAGATATATTAAAAGAAGTGTCTTTAATATTTAGGATGATGACAGGATATGAAAATTTAAAATCTAATTAGTCCGTAAGTTAGGTAATGAAAAAATATTAGACACGTATTTTTTTATTTTGTCGTATATTAAAACAATACATACTTAGATAAAACGAATCAAACTTAAGGAGTCGGGGCTAAAACGTTCTTTCTACGTATAAAGTGTACCTACATAGAAGTGACGTCACGCGACATTTCAAATCAATATATCGCCGAAAGTAAGTATTAGTTTCTGTAAGAAAATAAAAAAGACGTGTCTAATGATTTAAAATAATCTACCATTACAATAAAAATAAGCGTTCTTTCCTATACGCGTAGTAAGTAGGTAGGTACTTTTTTATGAGTGAAAATCAATCAATGACTTTTCTCGCCTTAGATGAGGCAAGAGGGAGTGTCAGACTCTTACTGACTAAAAATCACCCCGTTCCTACTCCTGCTCTTCTAGTCGGAGCCCCGGTAACCCGTTAATTCGTCCGCTGCTCCGCATCGGGCATCAGGCCTACTGAAGCTCATCTGAGGTGGTCTGATAGCTCCGTGGGGCGCGGTAGTACTTAAATACTATCGTGGCTCCCTGGAGAGAAGACTTACATAACATAACATCACGTCTTTTATCCTCGAAGGGGTAGGCAGAGGTGCACATTATACCACTGTACTATGTAACACCCACTTTTCACTATTTATGTTATGAGTCCCATGTAATAGGGGGTGAGCCTATTGCCATATACCGGGCACAGTTCCAGACTCCATGCTACTACTGAGATTTTTTTTAAAATCCAGTAATACTTTGCCCGACCCGGGAATCGAAAACGAGACCCCTTGCTCGGCAGTCGCAATTGCGACCACTCGGCCAACGAGGCAGTCTTGTAAAGTTGTAATTAACATTGTAAACGAAAACAAACTGACATACACGTGATCTGAATAATACAATACATGTTTGTGTGTAGGTAAGTACGTTCGTACAGTCATCTAGACTTTCACCAAAACTTTCTCTTTGTAAGTTAAGTGATTGCAATTGTGTCTGTGTGTCGTACTGAGAGCTTATCTTCATTAACTGACTTAAAAAAAGGTAGAATGATCTGAGTTTTACTTATATCGAGTGACCTCCATAATATTGGGTTGTATTTTTTATTTTTTTAATTCTCAGTCTTGGAGCAGGCCAGTGATCTTGTAGATAATATTGATGAAATTGTATGAAGTCTGCAATCGTGCTTGGCTGTAAATTGGTGGTAGGTTGACAAACATTATAACCATTTTTACCAAGACAGTTACTCATGTCCCTTGGACGCGCCGGACTTCAGTGTTCCGGTGTTTTCATGGTTGTATCTACTGCAGATCCTGGTTTATAGGAGTTGCAGCGGTTTTGATAGGTTTTGGCGGGCTTGTACCATTTAAAAAAACATTACTTATAACCATAATCCATAATAGATGTAATAGATCTATAATTACCTAGTATTTAATATTTCTGTGGTTATAACCATAACTGGCGATACTTCTAGCAATTGAAATTACTTGTTTTTATTTACTTTAATACCAACACTTACTTATTATATCTAGAGATAATGTATGTAGGTACCTAGTTATGTGTTTTTTGTGCACAGTACCGTCTTTACCATAAGGGCACTCGGGGCCCGTGCCCAAGGACCCCAATCCTCAAGGGACCCCGAAGGATCAACAACGGTGTAGCGGGTTCGATTCCCGCATAGAGCAAATCTGTGTGATCTACTTTGTTTCGGGTCTGGGTGTCATGTGTATGTGAACTTGTATGTTTGTAAATGCACCCACGATACAGGAGAAAATCCTAGTGTGGTGTAACGTTAAGAAAAAGAAACATTCCAAAAGGGTCGAATTATTGTGTGCTAAGGGCCCCAGCGCGGTCTGAGACGACTCTGGGCCCCTGGGTGCTTACTCTTGAAACCAATCTCAATGTATCCATAAAATCTCAATAATTATTCAATTATAAAACTATACAACCCGTATTGTAGCTGTTAAAATAGCATTCAGAATACGGAATATAAAGCCAAACTCAATACCATTTAGTTCCTTCAATATCTACGCAATACGGATGCAATGGGCGCTAGTGTTGCAACTCAAGAGTACGAAATTTCACAATATCAATGTCAATCGATCGGAATTGGATTCAAGAGTAAGACCAGGGGGTCATGCATTCAGTTTCAGGCCATTCTACAAAATGCACTAGGTTAGGTTCAGATTACTGATTGTTATATATTCAAACTATGTATTTGCATGCTCTTATCGCCATTACACAAATGTAGCCGTTGTGCCCTAGTTCCTGCCGATATTATGCTAACTGCCTCATGCCGGATTTAACGATGTTTTAATATGCCCATACTGGCGAGTGACTGTTAGCTGTTAGGGGGCCATGTACGATTACTAGTACATGGGTAGGAACTTACGTAGGTAATGGTTTAGTGTACGTTTCGATTTAAAAATAGGTAGTCACCTTTATGATAATAGTAAGGAAGGATTGTGATCGTGTGCCATCGATATCTAAAAGCCTTTCTTCCTACCTTCTGCCTCCTTGACGATGAAAAGAGACAACTAATAAGTTAGTGATTGTAAAATGCAACATCTCACATCTGCTTTTAACAAATAAACACTGAAACGATTCTATGGTGATGGTAGCTAGCAATATTATCAAACAGTCAATAAAGCTAAGCACGCTGCTCATGTGTTATGCGCCTGCCACACTCGACGAGTGGTATGGGCAGTAACGAGGGAAAGAGAGTCTTAAGTGTGGGAGAGCCATGCTTCGGCACAAATGGGCCGGATCGACCGCAGTGATACCACGGCCTCATAGAAAAATGACGTGAAACAACGCTTGCGTTGTGTTTCGTCGTGTGAGGTTACCGGAGGCCCAGTTACCCTCCTCCCTAGTCTTCCAAATCCTTCAATCCTGGCGGCCAATCCCTGAATCCCGAAAAAAGGAGGCAGAGACATAGTGTTGCAACATTACTCGTCATGCCACACGTCATGTGATGCGAGGACGAGGAGTCCTGCCCACTGCTCCCTCTTTTGTCGGTTTTTGCGCGCGAGTCAAAGGACCGGCAATACGAGGAGGCAACGAGGACCGGCATGGCAATAAGGGCGGCGAGGAACGTCGCGAGTAGAGCAGTGTGTGGGCAGAGAGGGCAACATCGCGGCAAATCACGGCAGGCGCAAGGAGCATAGTCTGGCAGGCGCATAAGAGTCCCGATGTATCGTGAAAGTGATCGAGATGTTTTCAGTCATATACATGAGTAGACTGTTACCTAAATTCAATTAATTTAACAAACTATGCCTGTGTCAACCATTAGTAAGTGCTTAATTAGTATACGTAATCTAGAATTAGGTCACATTTATGGTAACTTAATATAGGTAATCAGTAACTCATTACAGTTCATTCTGTTATCAGGAGTGTTGGTACAAATGTAATCAGGGCATATTTTAAGTCATTGACATACATTTCAAATGTATGCATAATAACCTATTCGTAAACATTATGT